CATTGTGGGTTACCTACAATGCGAAGAGATGGCGCTGCCTTGCAGCTTAAGGCTAGGAAAATTTCGACGCGGCTAATAGGGCCGTGGTAGCATAATGGTCAGTGCATTCGCCCGGATAGCGAAGGATGCGGGTTCGAGTCCCGTCCGCTGCCTGGTCCGCGTGGATTTTTTTCTAGTAAACTTTTCTTTAGATTTAAATAACAGTTTGTTTAAAAGCACTGTCATTGTCATTTATCTTATTCTACTACTCTATCGCATTACTATCAATATCAAACATGTAAAATTCATAAGGTAGATACTGGTGTCGATTCTGGCACCATTATCTAAACTTAAATTTGTAAACAGTCTATCTTTGTCATGCTCTATATAGAATGAAAGAGGGAGACTGATCTTGAAATTTAGTTTTAAGTTTAGAGAATCATGCCAGAATCGACACCACCAAATACCTAAAGCAAAATAGTTTCCACACAGTGCAAATTTGTAAACACATCGCAGTCAGATTTTAAAATGCGCTGTTACCGTCATGACCTGAAGAATTCACACTGCTGCGTTCCGTCCCGTCGTAAAGTATCCATCGCGTCAGGCCTCAACTCGATTCCATTCATTACAATCGGTCATAAAACACTTTGTTGCGTCTCCCGTATAGTACAATGTTGCGGCGAGGCGGCGGCGGCGCCGAACACGCCGGTTTTATTATTATCCTACCGCCTAATGCGTCTACTACTTTCGCCATAAAGCGCTATTGTTCCATTCCTTGTGCTAGGCTAAGGGTTTCTGGAAGTAGACTTGCGGCTTAATCTGAGTATTTAACAAGTTCTTTTATTTACAAAGCAGCTCAACAAATTACTCCAACCCCGATTCCCCTGGAGCGCTGGTAACTTTAAGGGAATCCGCTGTGACCTTAAGCCTTCAACAAGGCTTTTCAGTGCTTGAAGTAGTGTTGAGTAGGACTTACAAGAGGCGGTACATTTGTCCCGGACATGACGCCAAATTGTAAGAGCGGCTCAAAATTTTAAAATGGACTACTTCACATTAAATGTCGCGATAGTCGCGTCTCGTTACTCACTCACTCTTCGTAAGTTTGAGAGAGAGAGCGAGGCATGACATTTCATTTAAGTCCTCTACGCACTATCCGTCTGTATCTCTATCTGTTTTACGTGTATAGCGCTGTCCTGCATGCTGGATCCAGCAATATTGATAGTGCGTAGAGGAGGTGCTACTCGTGCACACAAACGTAATGTCGAGCTTCTGTACGCCTCAATGTCATATTTGTACTCGTCACTTCAAATGTATTGCCGAGCTTCAGTACGCCTTGCCTCATTTGAAGTGGGACATTGTACTGGTTCAGTACAAAAAAGAGGCTACTCTTACAAACTCTTTTTCAAGTCGTGTCCTACCCAACACTAGCTTGAAGATAACAATAGCTGCCACAACAAACTAAGAATCTTTGCAGCTACTGGATGTATACTCAAATCCATAAATTAGATAGGCTGAAGTCTGTTACCGAGGATGCTTTTCCAGTTTCACGCACGCGTTGCCTATTCTAAATCAATCCCTCACCCCGCGGAGCCCTGAAACCTTACCTACTCACTAATACAAACACAACATTACCCCAAAAGAACATTTTTTTTTCATTATGGTCTTTTGGTGAGGTAATGGAAATTTCTTCCCCAGACGCGCTCTCTAATTCGAGGAGAAAGACGGTTAAACCCTACCTTTAATATCCCTAATCTTGTTTAAAACAAGCGTGACAAACATCTTCTTCTACCTTCAAATTACAATTGTAGATTTAGGTGCATGTCATAATTTACCTCTCAGAAAACTATATGGAAAGTGCTTTGTAAGTTAGTCTCGTTTATCATATTTTTGTTTTCACATCTATTCAGTAGACTAAAATTTATTAAGATTTAAGATCCTTCGTTTAATAACTCGTCATAGTGCCCGTAACAGACGCACCCATTATTACCCAGGTTTCTCTCTTAATTAAGGAATTCTATCAGGTTTTCAAAACTGATGTTAATGAAAGCAAGAGTAATTAATAACAACGCTACAAAAAAGAGGCATCTTATTTGAGATAGATGCAAGAAGTGAGCTTAAAAAATTGTTGCTCATTTATTTAATATTTGCCTACATCGTTCATAACTTGCAACAAAAATTTTAATCAATATCATATTTCCGTTTTCCTTTAATGCGACTCAGTATATATTCAATATATGCAGCTGTATTGCAGAACACGTGCAATAGCAAACCTTATCTATTGCAGATACATAGGTCAGACAGCCAGTAGCATCCAAAAAGCAGCCCCCTCCCCAAACAACTCGCATACAACAAGAGCCAGCGTATGCTGGCGTTTATTGGATTTTAACGGAAATTCCCAGCTCGCCGGCCGACCGGCTCGTCCTATCGTGTTTTGATTCTGATTCGCATACAACGCATCGGATACACGCAAATGGAACGCAAAACGTATGCGAATAGCAGTTTTTGTTAGTTGGCTAAAAACCAAACCGTAAAACAGGAAGGCACCGATGTTAGGAAACGTCTAGCACATCTCGTCCATTCCCATTGGAAAACCTATTCGGCGATGGTAAGAGGTGTACGTAAAAGCTAACCTCGAAAAGCTTTTTCGGCGACCGCGTTCCGAGCCTCCCTTGCACTGAAAAAAGAAAATATTTTAAAGCACCAGTAACACGAACATTCTGTTACGTTTAAAACGAAAAATTTATCTTTTCCCATTAGCATTCATCTGAATCAGAGTATTATTACAAAGTCGTGCCCAGTGTTCATATTAGAACAACGGAATCGACTCACGTAGACGAGCTTTTTTTTTCTTTATCCACAGCAATCCTGAAGTAAAAGCAAAGGAAACAACAAACGCTCGAAAGTTGCTCGATGCTATCTTAAATTTCCAATTGAGTCCCCGAGTCCCGCTCCTCTATAAAATGCTAATAAGCTTACTTATCCGACAAACTACTCTCGGCTTTGTCTTCTAAAGGAAAGAGGATCGGCGTTGCATCTATCAGAAATCTCAACCTAACAGAATTAAACTCGACTTTTGTAATTCCAGAGTCGAATCTTCCCACTCGGATCTCGCTGCTAATTGTTGAAAAGAGGGAACGTAATAAAAGTGCTAGTCTTTGAAGCGAAGATGCTACTCTGGGTAGAGCGCCTCGCCCTCGCATTTTAATAAATTAAAACGGCGCAAAATGCCCATTCCAATATCATTCTATTTCGTTTCGCCAGCTGCATCCACCTACACGGACTGGGCTCTTCTTGCATTCAGTTTTTATTTGATGCCACCATAGAAGATAGTTTCGTATTTGGAAACTTTTATTAACGTATTATTAATTTATGCTTAGTTTTTATTGATGTTGCAGAGTAAGAGAAAATACAATTATGGTTGGTTATTAAAATTATCTGTCTTTCAATTACAGGTGGCGTTACTGTCATTGGAAATGTTGGCGTGGGGAAGTGGCGCAGCTGCGCTTGCGAACTGCCCGACCGGCTGCAACTGCAACGATGACACGCTGGTGGTGGTCTGCCAGGAGAGCAGACTGGACGTGCTGCCCATCGCGCTCAACCCCTCCATCCAGCGGCTCATCATCCGCAACAATAAAATCAAGACCATCGACAGTTCCATGCAGTTCTACGCGGAACTCCAGCACCTCGACCTATCCCAGAACCACCTCGTCAATATACCCTCAAAAAGTTTCTCATATCAACGCAAACTCCAAGAGTTGCATCTAAACAGCAATAAGCTTTCCTCAGTCTCCAACACCACTTTCCTAGGATTAAACTCCTTAACTGTATTGAATTTAAAACGGAATCTACTCGAAGAACTCACAAATGGAGTATTCTCTACGATACCGAGGTTAGAGGAACTCAATCTTGGACAGAACAGAATATCGAGGATAGAACCTAGAGCGTTCGCCGGATTGTCTGCCTTAAGAATATTATATTTAGATGACAATCAGCTTAGTTCAGTGCCTACGACTTCCTTTAGTCTTTTAGGGAGTCTCGCAGAATTACACGTTGGCCTTAATGCGTTTTCCTATTTACCAGACGACGCCTTCGCGGGTCTCAATAGATTAACAGTATTAGATTTGAATGGAGCTGGACTCTTCAATATTAGTGAAGGCGCATTTAGAGGACTTCCCGGATTAAGAAGCCTCAATCTTTCTGGTAATAGATTAAGTGTAGTGCCGACGCATCAATTATCTGGACTTACTAGGTTAGAAGAGTTGTACATTGGTCAGAACGATTTCTTAGCATTAGAAAGCCATTCATTCAAAGGCTTAAAGAATTTAAAGTTACTGGAAATCATCGGAGCGGCGCAACTGGAGCGCATTGAAAAAGGAGCATTTGAAGATAATATAAATTTGGAAACAGTCACCTTTATTATCAATAAAAGGTTAGCTGTCATCGAAGATTCCACACTACTGGGATTACCTAAATTAAAACACGTTTCGTTAAGAGACAATGCCATCGTAACTCTCAGCGAATCCGTGTTTATAGGTAAAGAACTCAAACAGCTCGATTTGAGCGACAATCCCATTTTCTGCGACTGTCAGCTGCTCTGGCTTCACGAACTACTCAACGAAAAAAGCAACTTCACCCAAATACAATGCGCCGCCCCGGATCACTTGAAAGATAAACAACTGAAAGCGCTCAACGCGGACGACCTAGGTTGCGTCCTGCACGACACCAGACAGAACACCATAATATGCATCGTGGTAGTCGTCAGCGTCGCCATCCTCGTCGCCCTGGTGCTCATCCTGTACAGATACCGCAAAAACATGCAGGAGAAACTGAAGGACTACAAGTGGAACAAGGGTCGGAAGAACCTCGAGTACCACAAGCCGATCTCGACGGAGGAGGACTGCATAGTGCGGGGCATCCACCCGTCGCAGTACGGCGCGCCGCCGCCGCACGCGCCCGGCCTGCGGCCCATCCCCGTGACGGAGCTGTAGCTAGAGCTTTACGCCTCGCCGAGCGTGTTCTTCATGTCGGGCGGGCAGGGCACCGGGCCGGGGCACGGGTCCGCGCGCCGCCCGCAGCGCTCGGGAGGCGGCGCCGGCGCCGGCGGGACGCTGCCCGCAAACGGCTTCACCTACATCGGGTCCGAACGGTCTCCCGCCACGCTCAACAACGGCGCGCCTGCGCCTGCGCCCGCGCATCTACACCACCTCAACAACGGCTCGTTGCGCTCGCTGCCCGACAAGAAGAACAACCGGAACGGCGTGCTCTGCCACCCGGACAACTTCCAGCGGAACCTCGACTCCCGCTACTCGAGGAAGCAGGAGAACGGCTACCTGCGCAACTCGGAGACCGTGATCGGGTTCGGGCACGCGAGCGGCGAGCGCGACTACGAGCGCGAGTACAGCGAGCCCGAGTACTCGGTCATCCCGGAGGGCGGGTACGGCCGCGACTGCGCGCGCGCCTGCGCACACTCCAACACCTTCAACTGTTGAGTGCGGGGGAACCCCCTGAACGTTTGTGATCTTGTAATAGTAGCAATAAATCTTCATTCCATTAAGTTTTACGGGCGGACTGGTGAGCCGGACGTAGTGCTCTAGAGCGGTTAGTGACATTAGCGACTCGGGCCCGGTGTGCGTGGCCGCGGCCGGTGAGGACTATCCTATATCGTAATTCGGTTTAAAAGAGTACCTTATTTGTAAATTATAAATTTAAGTAGTGATGGATCTATTTTTCAATGGGTTGTCGGGACGTGAAAGTGTGACTTTCATGACGAGTCGGAAGTACAATGTACAGCTAGTCGGGAGTGAGGTAGGGCGGCGCCCGCAGGCCGTAGGGCGGGCGCCGACGCCGGCATCTTGTGATTTGTAATATTTCTACCAGGGCGGTGGAATTTGTATTTGACTTTGTACAAAAACCATTCCATAAGAAATCTTTTTAATGTCTAATATTTTATTTATAAACGAATAAAGTAAGTGTGCGTTACATAAGACACCAATATGAGAAATATTAGAAGTAATGAATGTAAATATATTTATACTATATTGAGAAAATTTATAAAATTTAATACGATCTTGTTCTTCTAAAATTATAATAAAATCATTTCGGGATTTCTGATATTAAACTTATCGTTTGCTGTATAGACTGATATCCTATCTTTCAGATTTTAAAGTCTGTCACTAACTGTATATTTATTCTCCTACACCCAACTTTGTATTGTGTAGGTACAGAGCACCATTTAATCCAAATTACGAACACGTTACTAATAATCTTGTACAGTGTTAAATCCCAGTAATTCAATATACATATAATTTTTTCATAAACTTTATGACTACAATGTTAAAATACTTAATTGATTTGTAACATTATATTAAAATTTGTAATTGCCACCAAGTGTAAAGTACAGTTCTCTGTTATCGTTATAATTAACGTGGAAATTAACAATCCAATGTACCACTTTAAAGGTACAAATTGGTAGCGGACGACATGAAGCTGCAGCAAACGACATGTCGCAGCGACACTACTGGTTTCTATGTATTTCTATGAAATTCCCTCCGTAGTTTAGCGATATGAAGCTAGCGGCAGATGGCTGACCGCAGATCAGTGGCAGGATTGCCAGGTCTCCCGATTTTACAGGAGAACTCCTGTTTTCCCCAAATGTCTCCCGTTCTTCTGGTTGTCTACATAAGTCTTTCTGTTTCTCTAGAATCAGATTTTCTTTTATAAATTGTGTGAAACGTTACATAAAATGCGTCCCTCCCTCGAGTCATCTATGCTTTCCGGTTCTGCCATTAAGCATGTTACCTTTAATATAATACAATAAATATGTTTCTGCTACAAAAAAAAACCGACGCAAGCAAAGGCAAATCTAGCGAGTTTCTTCCCAAAATGTCTTTTTCCGATTCTGAAGAAAACTCATAAAAGATATAAAAAAATCATCGCGATCACTATTCTCGAACACGTCAGACATCTTGTTTGACGGAACACTCGAAACTAAACCAACTAGATTCCATCTGCTATTGCAAATTCGATTCGAAATTCGAGTTCGAAATCATGACTGCAGCGTCAGAACGCAACGACGTATCGTGGCGGCATGCAGCGACGACCGACGACACATCGTCTGCTGTTGCTGCGTGTACTCAGCTACCAACTTGTACCTTAACACGAGAAATCTTTAAAGAAACAAACTATCAAGATATCGCTAAAAAGTGATAATTTTCCAACTATTACTATTGTAGGGATAATGGCAAATTTTTTTTCTTCGTTTATCTGGTAGATTATCAAAAAATATTGGACACGTATTTTTTTCTTTTTTCACATAATGTATATTGATTTGAAAAGTCGCATGACGTCACGTTTGAGTACACTTTTAAGTGAAAATTCACTAAAAAGTGACGTCACGAGCCCCTACTCCCAAACTTTGACGCGCTATAACTATGTCATTTTTTGGTTGATTGCCCAAAGAAAAAATACGTGTCCATTATTTTTTGATCATCTAACTGACGGACTAAATAGAATTTCGTTTACTGTACCCCGTCATCACCCCTATTACTGTACATTATAAAAATTACCGATTATTCACATGGGAAACCAATAATTGTGTTTTTTTGTTGTTATAAATAAGTTTGTTTGAATTTTTTGTTTAGTTTCTACATAATTATATCTTCATTTCGAGCACAAATTCTCTTATCATCGAATTAAGTACTACATAATGTAAATTATACCATACATAGATAACTATAAATCGGGTGTTGTTTTTTTACTGAAGCTTGCTCTTGTATAATGGTAGCCATACACACTACGAGAAATCGTTTCGATTAGACTGTACCGTCCGAACGGTACCGTTAAATCGTAGCGTGTATGTTATAAAACTGCACAGTTTCCTATACGTACGCCACGTACGATAAACTGTTCCGTTCGAACTGTACAGTCTGATCGTAACGATTTCTCGTAGTGTGTATGGCTACCATAAACATTTTTATTGTTTCGTAGACATTACGATGATTCTAATTTTATTAAGTACAAACAACGATTACATTTTGGTCACGGTACAATCGACAAATTATGGAAATAGCTCCTGCGAACTTAATTTTTAGTCATAGTTATACGATACGAAAAGTGAATAAAATATTTGTCCGCAACAAAACATAACCCAAAAAGAATATTCTCAAATGATCTTTGTTGAGTGTGAGTTTAAAAAAGATAGCTTTGTATAACACCCCGGAAAATTTCTTGAGCCTCGGCCATAGACACGGAAGCCTGCGCAGTACCAATTTTACATACAAAAACTTCTACTGAGCTACTTAAATTGTCTGTGGTTTTGCTCAAGAATTTTGCCGTTACCTATACCTATTTGCATAAAGCTGGCTTTTCGTTATGGGCTGTTATATAACACTAAGAACATTCCGAACTAAACAACAGTATTGTTTAAATCTAAAGAAAATATAACTAGAAAAAATTCCACACGGTCCACCCCTTCACAATCCGGGCGAATGCACTGACCAATTATGCTACCGCGGCCCTCACGGACCGCGTCGAAATTTATCAAGCCATTCTTAAGCTGCAAGGCAGCGCCATCTCTTCGCATTATAGGAAACCCACAATGTCAAATGAATACTTTTACAAGTATTAAACATTTGAAAGAAGAAATAGCAATTATAGTTAGATAAAAAAAATCTAGTTATATTTTCTTTAGATTTAAAACATCAAGCAGTTACATGCTTTAAAAATAATAAAAAATATAACATTATTGTTCACGGAGAATTAAGAAAATTGCCAGTGTTAATTAAATTAGCACATTCATAAACTATTTTTTATAGTGAAACTTTCATTACATCGCCACAATTTTATTCGTTCATTACAGATGCTTATTGATAAGATCTGAATTTATTAATAACAATTGAAGTGTAAAGCTACTTGCTTAATTCAAAAAATTCAAAATTCAATATCGTTTATTCAGTCTAGGCTGTTACAAGCACTTGTGAATGTCGAAAAGCTACGCCATCGGTTCGCAAATCTACGGCGGGAGACCTTGTACTGAGAAGAACCGGCAAGAAACTCAGCAAGGGCTGTTTTTTTCTCCCTGTATTATATACAGAGTCGTCAAATTGAAAAATGACTTCAATATGAGGTAACTCATAAAGTCACTTTTCATTACAAACAAAAAAAAAATGCAAATAATATAAAAATTATGACTATAAAATAAAAAATTAAAATATGTAAAAAAAATGGTTTAACAAAGTTTAGGAATGACGTGTCCTACCGCTTAGGCAAAAAGAAAATAATAACAATGAACGATTAAAGTTTAGAACAACGATTAATAGTAGTACCCAGTGAATTAAGAGCAGACTCATCTCCGCTGGCAGCACCCGTTCACGAGCATGACGCATGAACCAGCCATCGCTTCGCTCAACCATTTTTTAGGGAACGCAGCGACCCGCCTCACACGACACCACCGAAGAGATTTTTAAGAGAGCATGACTACTCATAACCACACATGGATACTATGTTACTAAAATAGAAAAAAAATACATATAGGTACCAGTGTACATTATTATAACAAACTATAAACACAACGGCAGGACACATGCATGTGATTACCTAAACACTGTTGTCGACCCTGGCAATACTCTTCCAACCCAAAACCAATCAAACATCAGTCCCCCCCTTTCAGTCTGTATAGAGAATGACAAGGATACACCACTGCAAAACCAAGTTCAGGTCTAGAAAAACATACCAGAATCCACACCGCCATTAAATCTTTATCAGAGAAATAATATATGTTCACTTACATTTTGATTGCTGTGTCACACAGTATAAATACAAGTTGTGTAATGTAAAATACAATCAAAAATTAATAATAATTATCATTACAATAATAAAGTAGTATAGAGCAGACTCATCTCCGCTGGCAGCACCCGTTCACGAGTATGACGCATGAACCAGCCATCGCTTCGCTCAACCATATTTTAGGGAACGCAACGACCCGCCTCACACGACACCGCCGAAGAGATTTTTAAGAGAGCATGACTACCCATAACCACTAAAACCAATCTGCAAAATGGTTACTTAGAGTTAAGGTAATTTATCTGTACGACACTGCAAACAAATACAAAACAATTTTGCAGTTACAGCCATGCAGTTTTGTCATTCAAGTATTCTTTAATAGTATAATAGCCTTTCTTAACTAAACAACTTTTAATGTGACATTTGAACTCATTTATGGGTAACTCAAGAACAGCATCAGGAATTTTATTGTAAAAATGTATACCTTGACCCATAAAAGATCGGTAAAGCTTCTGTAACCTGTAGGCTGGCAATGCAAGCTTGTTTCTATTCCTAGTATTAAAATTGTGTACGTTACTGTGTTTGGTATACAAATTGATATTATTTTTAACGAGGAGTATGCAATTGTAAATGAATTGAGAAGCAACAGTCAAAATGCCAATTTCTTTAAATTTTTCTCTAAGAGATGTTCGGCTACTCAATTGATAAA